CAATTCTCTGTGATGGATTTGGTAGACCAAGCAGTCCCAGGTCATGCCTTTGAAGAAGATGTGAAAAAGTGATGGTCAGAACCCACTGCCATTTGATGGCCCACCATCTAACATGTATTTGTTGTTCAGACCCACATCTAAGCCTGGTTAGAAGGTGTGACAATACCCACATCTATCTAGTGTTAAAAGATCTATGTTATTCATTGATTTTTTGCTGGAGCTAGTTAATAACTGTCAGTTTTCATTCTTCTAACTCTTGTCAGCCACATCTAGGAAGCTGATTCTGATGTGAGGAAGAGAAAGTAACAGAAGGGGCTAAAACATGAGAAGTAAGGAGTAATGCCGAGGCTTAACAAGGTGAGGAATGGCTTTCTGTAGTCGTTCTCAGGCAGAAGGCTCTGGTTTATAGTATAAGTAACATAAAGTATCCTGATCTAGAATGTGTAGTATTCTCAGCGCTGCCTATGCTGGTGGGCAAACAACTTGAAGAACACCCTCCTTCGATTTTGTCCTGTTAGAAAACACCCCGGTGCTTGCATTTAAAACCACCTTTTTTAATTGAGGGACAGCTCTAGCAACAAAATGAGGGATATCTCTGTTTTTTTCTGAAGCAGATTCCAATCGGGGTTGCAGTGAAAGGATTTGCATGTTTGAATGTGCAGGCTGTTCTGCTGCATGTCTACCTGTATGAAGAGGTCGTGAATGTCTGCATGTACCTGAGTTGCTCTTTCAAGCTTAGAGGGTGAAGTGTACTAAAAATGTGGGAGGCCATGTGAACTTGAGCTGGCATTCATGTGATTGCTGTTTTCTATGTCTTGTTTTGACAAAATGATGTAAAAATACGTTTGCATAAAGGACAGATATAAAAGGTCATTTATTCCCTCTTGGCAAGAGCAGCCAAAGTGATCTTTGTCCACCTCACAGCTACTTCATGTATGCACTGGACAAACTTCTGGTGGTGCATATAAATCAGAGAGGAAAAAGACAAGAGATGGGTATATTAATTATTCCCAGGCAAAAGGGAGGAGAGACATGTAACAGAAAGCAGGTGTTGCATAACTTCTTTCTTACAGAGATGTGAGGAAAACAACAGAAGGAGGACCGTGAAGGAGCACATGCTTATGTTTTTTTCTACACAAAATTGTGAGTGAACCAGAAGGAAAAACACAAAGAAGTTATCTGTTTCGATGGCCTTCCTGAAGTATTGAAATAGTACGCAAAGATGAACAAAGGGACCAAACTGCCAAAGAGATAAAACCACCACCACTGTGAATTTAATTTTTTATCTCTAGCCTGGTTTAGCTGTGTGTCCCTCAGAATAGACAGCAATGCAAGTATGCAATTAGGCTGGACCATGGCCTCAAAGAATTTGCTAAGCCATGTTTTATGTGGTATCTCAAAAAGGATACCCCTCTGCAGCAAGATGTGCACCCTTTTAAGAAACCTGTGTCACCTTTCACCTGGGACACCCTAATTCTGCACTCTGCAACAAGACAGGGCAACTCTTTTTCTCCCAGGAAAGTCCCATACTACACACCCTTCACAGTTCCTGATGACTTTGTATAGATTTGGAATTAACTAAATTTTGGAGGAAGAAGGGACAGAGCACGCAAGCAACATTTTTGTCTGTACTGTTAAGGCTCATACAGTTTCCAGAACCTTAATGCATCCCATAAGAAACTGAGTGGTATTTTCACTTCTACTCAGCAGTGGCAAAGCCCCTCTGCAGTGCCAGGTCTAGTTCTGGGGGCACCAGTACAAGGTGGACATGAGATTACTGGACCATGATATTTCAAGGTATGGAATATCCCTTTGGCTACTTCAGGTCAGGTGTCAAGTCTCTGCTCCCTCCCACCTTCCTATGCACCTGCTCACTGGCAGAGCATGAGAGACTGAAAAGTCCTCAATTTAAGGTAAGCACTACTTAGCAACAACACATTAGTTTATTATCAACATTGTCCTTGTAGTAAATCCACAACACAGCACTGTACCAGCTACTAAGAAGAGAATTAACTCTATCTCAGTCAAAACCAGGACAACCAGGTTTCCCACTGTCTTTCCTTTTTTTTAATTGATTACAGGAGATTACGGGATCTTTATGATGCTTCTTTTTTCATTTGATTTGATGGAGCTTAGACTAATAAGCCCTGAGCTTGCTTAATGATAACAGGAACTATTATTGTTATCCAAATAAAAGAGTAAAATACCGAAGACACTTTTATGGTGCCTAAATCTGAGAGGCACTTATTTTAACCCTTTGGTGAGTACATAAGTGGCTTTTCTGAACTCCACATCAGATGTTAGGATAATTGTAGTGCTTTAAGCACAAATGTGTGCTTTGTTCCGTCTTCATTTCATGCATATCTTACTCCATTCTGCATCCTCTGTGGTGAAAAATACGCTCAGAAGGAAGCAAGGGAAGAGAAAAAACAAAGTGAATCAATTGTTGCCTTCAGCCTTGAGAAACTGATAATTTGACTTGTAATGACACATGGACCAAGGTGGTACAGCCCTTCTTTGCACACTGAAAGTACAGTTGAGAAGGGAAAGTAAATTGCCAGAACATCTTAAAGGAATGATCTAGCCCTCATTCCCTATAGTAAGCAATCATATAACCAAACAAGTATGTACTTAGAGATTTGAAGTAACCTCTCGGTAAAAGTCCCTCCCCCAGATCTGCTGATTTTAAACAACTTGTTAGTGGAGAGTTAAAAAAACTATGAATCATGTTGTAATAGGCTGCTGTCATTCAGGTGCCTTTAGAGGAGGGACTGGTCTTTTGATAGCTTAACTTTTCACTTAAAAGATTTACATTTAGCACTGGTATCAAAAATTAAATATCAGAAAAGTAAATGTGTCTGATTTCAGATTAAAAAAAAAACAAAGTAAAATATTCATAGTGTGAAGATCTTCCTAAAGAAGATTTTAAAAGTTGAGAATTTGAATATAGAATGAGAGGGGTCTTGTGAGAAATGTAGCAATGGCCAAAGAGAGTCAATGGGTAGATTAGCCCCAGAGGGAGTTTTCCATCACATTTCAAGAAAATCAAGAGCCATCAACCAGCAACCCATAGCAGAATTCAAGTTAACACTGATAAATAGCTTGTCCAGGTATAGAAGCGGATGTTTTTGAGAAATGTCCTGATAGCAAATAAAAAGCAGTCTCACAGAAAAAGCAGAGAAATTCAGCTCCCTGGGAAGTTTATGCTGCAACTGGACAGAGAGCTAAGGCTCTGTGATAGAGCACTGTTTCAATTAAAGAGATGAGCCAGAAGAGCTTCTAGCCTTTCCCATCTTTGTGTTTTATGAGTACAGGTGTTACAGGCATGCAAAGTAGCATATCTTAATTGTCATCTTCAAATCAGACCAGTTCCACTTGTGTTTGGTTTAGCATACTGTATTTTGATGAAGTTTTCATCTGATTTCCCTTAAGGACAACAGTAGCATTTCCACTCATTCAACAAGTCAAGATCTTATGCTATTTCATTTACTATGGGCGTTGAGAATTTAAAGTGTGAATTAAAGCAATGGAAAAGCCTTTGTGACATGACACAGGAGAGCAAACCTAGAACTTTGACAGTACAAATAGCTGTTGACTGTCAGAGCTTTCCTCATACTCCAGTAAATTTTGCTCTGGGAAGAGAAAGCTGCACAAAGAGCCACTGGAGCCTAAGAACTTCAAAGAGAATGACATGGAAGTGCAAATCAATAGAGTAACCACATGAAACTTTTTAAGGTTATTTGATGCCTTCATATGTTCATTTCAAAATGTTACCTCACAAATTCCCACTAACCTTATCTTTCTTTAACTCTCTAGCTATTTCCTGAAGAGGAAAAAAATCTAGCAGGATCTGGGGAATTGTTGTTATAACCATGAGATTTTGTCAGAAGATGCATGGAGAATATGAGAAGCTTCATTTGAACTGATCTTCTTTCAGTATCATGCTTCCTGTGGAGAACAGGTACAAAACTTCCATCATGTGCCTATTGCTTGCATTACTCCAGTGCAGCCCTGTTGCAGCACTCCTCCGCAGGACTCAGCTGGAGGAGTCAAATGGTCTGTTGCATTAGTTTGCTGAAATGTACTCTTTTTCAAGAAAAGTGCACCTTTTATTTATCCATCAGTAACATTCCTGATAAATTGTTTTCACTATTACTTGTTCCTGCTGGTACCCCAATGTAGGCATTAATGTAGTATTTAGACTGGATGGCAACCAGTGCTTATCTGTTTTCTAGCTTCCTACTTTGTTACATGTTAAAAACAGTGTTGTTTTGAACTAGTCAGTAATGATGAGACATGATTCGTTGATGTTGTAATGCTTTTATATAGTTCAGATCTTGGAGTCCTTAGTCAAATCATCTGAAGAAAAATATTTCTACTTTTTATTACTGAATAATTCTTTCCTGTGATATATTAGCTGATACAAAGACATAATACATTCACTTGGCAGTTCTGATATGTACGATACCTTAATAAAAATATCTTTCATCTTCCTGAAATGGCCATATAAAGTATATAGTACTGTGACTTGACTACTACTTTAAAAGAACATCATGCAAACGTTACTGAACACCTATACGGCTCTGCTGACTTTAATGAACTTTGGATCAAGTCCAGATTTCCTAATGTGAGAGTCTCGGGAAAAGTATTATAAAAGACTGCCCTAGCAGCATCCTTTCAACTGTTAAAATTCAAGGAGCTTCTTTTAAATGTTTTTGAAAAAATATACTTCACAATATTGTCATACCATTGTAAGTAGCAAAAAAGCACAGGTGGTTTAAAGCAGTGACTCTAGAGAAATGCCCTGTATGGTTTTAAATGGTTTAAAATGCAATGGGTATATGCCTTTCTAATGTCCAGCACGTGCAATCTAAGGATTGGCATCTGAAATCCACTTTTGGCTTCACTTGGTTGTGTAGAGACATTTGCATTTTTCTGTGTTTCAAAGCCTTGATAAACCAGACACAGCTGTTTTCTTTAATTAGAACAAACAACAGAAATCTTACTTAAAAATGTTTATTGTAAAAAAGTGGCTAGAAAACAACATAAATTTCACTTCACACTTTCTTCAAGTTATCTATAGATGCTGCTATAGGCAACAATTCGCTTTCATTCATGACACATTCAATCATATAAAAATAAAAATATTTACATTATGTCCACATACTTTACAAAATCATCAATAAAAAAAGGCACTTGGAGGGGTAATGCTGAAAATATTGCATTTCCTTTGTGCATTTAAAAAAAATAATTGTCAAACTCCCATGAACCCCTCTCTTGCACTTATTCCCGTTTTTTAAGAAAGATTAAAGTTTAGAGGAACTATTCCATGTTACAGGTGGTCAAGCATGCACCAGGAATGTGTGAAGCTACAGTCTTTTTTTCTTCTTTAAAAAAGGCACATGCGGTTAATTTGTGGCTTTCAATTTTTCATACATTCTCTTACATGTGTTTTTTTTTTCTCTTAATTACGCAGTTTTAAAGCTTTTTGGATCATTAATGAAGGCCTTGGCTTCTAATAAAATAAAATAAAAACACAGCAATGAATAATATTAAACATTTACTAAGGTAAACTCGGAATACTTTTTAAGGCACCTGAGACAAATGGTGTCTAGCAAGATTCACTTGGGTAGTATTTTTACTGAGAGTTCCACTTAAAATACTGTTTCTTTGGTTGAAATGGCTTGGCAGGAATGTATTGTTAACTTTGTAGCCTTTTCTAAGCAAGAAAAGACAACCTACATTTGGCTTCATCTATGAAGAAAGCCGATAATGCTTCTTCCTTTAGATCTACTTGAAATGTCATGCATGGTGTCTTTCCCCATATTTCAGAATTCACACTTAAGAAGGCAGATGTGTGACTGAACAGAAACTACTTAAAGCTCATTTCTACTGACATTCTAAGTTCTTCCACTATTTTTTTTTTATTGTTTGGTGGTGATTTGGTTGTGGAGTTATTTTTTTTTTTTTGGCTGAAAAGGAGATGAGAAAACGCCTTTGGATTTCCACTTATCATTTGGAACAGGAGTGGAGAAATGCATTGAGTCCAGGTAAACATTGACTGCATGACTCAGTGTGCTACACAGCAGCCAGATTCCTCATGTTTGTGCAGAAGAGACATTCTGGAGAAAGTTTTGGAGCAATTTTTGCACTGGTATTTCTTCACATCTGAGTGGGTCTGCAGATGAGCCCTCAGATTGGATCTGTCTGCAAAAGCCCTGTTGCAGTGAGGACAGGAAAACGGCTTCTCTCCTAAAAAGGAAACATCAAGGGAAAACAGGATAAAGCTTTTAAAAAAAAGAAGAAATACATATTTAGGACAGGTAAAGCCGGTGGTTATCAGAAGAAACAAATGAAGAAGCAGAAAGGATTTGTTATAATAAAGAATGTGCAATAAAAGGTTAATGGGGCCACATAACAGCTTTCAGCTCTGCAACTCAGTCTTTGCAGAATATGCTGCTAAATGCAATCTCAGAGGAGAAGCTGCTGACACCTCCTGCATTCACAGGTGCTTGCAGGGCTTGTAGGCTGGGCTTCTCCAAAAGTTTCACATATTTTCCTAGAACTTTTTCTGCTTAGAGCTGTGTGAGGTACTGGGGACAAGGGCTTTGACAGAAAAGCAGCAAACATCTGTACAGACATTACACTGTACTCAGTGTTATACTCAAAATCAAGTTTTTGCCTCCAGAGAGAAAAAAATCCCCAGCTTCAGTGATGATGCATTTCTAATCCTGAAGGACTTGACATAGCGCATGTAAAATGTGCCAGCTACTTAAGGAGCTAGAAAGTAGCCCCTCATACATTGCTTTTCTGGCTTTGCTCTTCATTTCAGAATCAGCTGGAGCCTTCTGAAAGTTAGCAATTTCCAAAGCCTGAGAGTTAACATAAAATCCCTAAAAAAAAAAAAGTTCAGCTAGTGGAAATGGGCTAAACCATCCTAAAACTATCAAGGGAGCAATGCTGATTTATACCAGCACCTGACGCACAGTTATGCGACTATGCTACACTCCCTCCCACCCACCCCCCAAGAGAGAGAATTAAGCCTTTTAATGACACATTTGAAATTCTAAGGATGCTTTTCAAGGTTAGTAAAGAAATAGTGCTGCTTTTTTCACCTGTGGAGAAAAATAGCAAAAAGGCATCCTGACATTATAGCAACAAGAGACAGCAACTGTAATGGTTGTTCTTACCAGTGTGAGTTCTAATGTGTCCTTGAAGTAGCCAGGGTCTAGAGAAAGCTTTGCCACAGATCTTGCAGACACAAGGTAGTGTGTGGGTCCTGATGTGCATCTTAAGTGCTCCCAGGCTGACATATTCCTTGTCACAGTACTTGCAGCTGAACGATTTCCTAGACTGGGCATCACAGTGCAGCTGCTTATGTTTGGCCAAGCCAGAGAAAGTTGAATAGGTCTTGTTGCATAAACTGCACTGGAACTTTTCAGCTTCAATTGCATGGGGGTCTGAAAGCTTGGACTGGATTCTCTCTTCTTCATCGCTAATGGGACTTTCTGAACCACTGTGATCTTTGGAGGAGGTGTCAGAAGGTGGAGGTGGGCTGACTCTTCCCAGAGATGAGGGGTATCCAGAAAGAGGAGAGAGGTCGTTGGGTAACGGAGATGGTAGCAGCCCGGTTGTAGTCCACACAGTAATGGGATTGTAAGCTACTGAGCTCAGGATCTCTGGCTGTGGTATGATAGGGACTGGATAGCTTTCATACAGGTATGGGGATATAATCACTGGAGAAAAAAGAAAATTCTAAGGTAAGAGAACCAAAAAGTATTTCAAGAGGCAGCAAAATGAACATTTTGGGGATTAAAAGGTGTGTGAATTAAACAGTATGGTCATCTAATATAAGGAGGATTAAGGAAATACTATTTCATACATATATGCTGATGGGTAGAGACAGTGCCCTTAAACAGACAAATTACAATTGGAGTGTCTTTTCAAGGCAGCATGCTGTTTCTGAATCTATGCAGCCTGGTACAACGAAGCAGTGAAACTTCCTGAAGGATTTGTATGAAAGCTTTGATTCTACCACCAGCAGACAGAGTACAGGAAAACTCCAAATCCGCTCCAAGTAACTTGAGTTCGAGTGGATGAGCAAACTTTCATGATTCATTATGGGCAGCACTGACATATTTCTTAAAACTCCTTCCTTATAAGCAAAAGATAAAAAAAGCTAGGAATGAACTAACCCATTCCCTCAAGCCCGAAAAGCAATCCCACCCCTCCTCATTACTGCCACGCAATGAGCGCAACCTCAGAAGCAACGCGGTGGCATTAGATTTCGTTTTGTTACCTGTATGAGTGTCCAGCTCGCTGTAATTGGGTTTTTTGGATGAATTGAAATGTTTCTTGACCAGGAAGGAGCGCGGCATTTTGGATGCAAGGCTTCCCCTTCTCCCAGGCTCTCTTCGTGGGTCGGCGTAGCGGTCCCGCCGGGTGTGCAGCACACACACGCGCGCACACACACACTATCACTGCGAGCGCATCGGTTCCTGTCGCAGTGCCTGCCCCGCGCAGTCCATCCACTCCGGCTGTGTGTAGCGGCAGTGCAGAGGCGCCTTGAAAACTGCTGTAAATACCCACTAGTCAGGTGCAGGGGGGAAGGGTTTTCCTCTCCTCCAATCACTTCGGGATGTTCTCAAGCACTTTTCCAAACAGACTGTTTTTTTTCTGGGAGGGCTCTCTGGCTGCTGGCGGGAGGGATCCAATCCCCGCTCCGAGGGTTTGGTTCAGGTTTCAGCTCCTCCCGCTGGAGACAGCTGTGAATGGAGGAGCTGTGGTCAGAGCGCGTTGTCCTTGCTGCAAAGTGGGTGTATGGTGTGCTCTGTAGAATTTCAGTCTAGAAAAATGTGTTGGTCAGAGTACTTTGTAAAAAGGTCAGTTTACTGATTCAGCTGACAAGAGAGCTGGCTAAGTCACAGGCACTGAAACTTCTACTTTTTTTTTTCAAAACGAATCTGGTTTCCAGATGTATAAGAATTACAATGGAACAAACTGTTCATTAAGGGCAGAAGGGGGGACATTACAAGATAACAAGTTAGCCGGCAGAGCTAATGGAAGCCTTTGAACTGACTGTGTGCCTGCTCTGCTTGGGAACTGCCTTTGAATAATTGCACTTAGGAAAGGCTGGAGACGAGCAGCCTGCCTCCCTAGCCTGTGCGCTTCCAGGCAGAAGGGCCAGCAAGATACTGCAAGTGAGCTCAAGGAGAGGAAGAAGCCCTGGAAAAGATTACATTTCAGAGCAGGGTGATAGGTTTTATATAATATGCATACTGCTTCAGACTGTTCATATGAAAAGCTCTTTTTTTTTATTTTTTTTTTTTACTTTAAAAGTCTGCAGAATGCAAAACCTTGACCTTTCCTTCCTTGAGAGTAATTATGTCACTCTTTTGCCTATCCTCTTAGAGCACTGCCAAGGAAATTTTCCTAATTACCCAAAGCAGTTAAAAGATGCACAGATAAGCAACCCTCCCCAAATTATAGACTGAGTAATTTAAATGTCTCTTAAACGTCCCTCCCCATTAGTGCGTTTAGGACCTCTTGACTTCCTATGAAGGTATAATCTATATTATGTATTTAATTTAGGATGAAAGTGTCTTAAATGTGCTACAGAATTTCCTGGTTATCTAGACTGATTTAGAGGAGACAGTTACAGATAGTTTTGTTGTTTTTTTTTTTTAATTTTAAAATATTTGCATTTGGAAAACATGGATAGCTGAACACTGGAGAATTTCTAACACAAATTACACTGTAATTGACTCTTGGTCTGCCCTCTGCACCCCTTCTCCCTCCTCCTTGCGTGTTAACTACACCTGCCTAGGCACATACCGGTATGCCGTGCTGCTAGGGCTCTGTCCTGTCTGGAGGAGGCAGGAGGGCTGTTTTACAGAGACCACCCCAGCCCTTCTGCAGCAGGTGTTGGAATAGTCATGAAGGAGAAAAAAAAGGACTCCCTCTGGTTGTGTTAAGACACGTAAGTGTAAAGTGCTTTATCAAGCGGCGTGACTTCTTAATCTCGGGGATGCCAAAACAAGTGCAGAGAAAGCCATTTTCAAGAACTGATTGAAAAGATTCAGCTGTTCAGCATCTGACTCTGGTGCCGGTCAGCAAAGGAGTCACGTGGATTTCCAAACTGCAGGGAACACACCCAGGCTACAGGAGGAAAGTGGCAAGGAAAGGGACTTCCCAGGTACCTGCTCTGCAGTTGGAGTGGAGGAGCAGACGTAGTTCTTCCCACAAGGGAGAGCAGTGCTTGCAGAGGCACAATCCGTTGCTTTCCTCAACTCCACAGAGATTAAGAAATCCTTCTGTAAAAGGTTGTATTTGTGGTCCCGCTACCCTCGTAGCTCTGCTCTGAGAAGTCCCTGTCCCCTGCCAACTCTGGGAAAGCATTGCATTTCAGGATGTGAGGCATTAGTCTGTATCTAAATAGTCTGTTACATGAGCTGTGATTCAGACCCTGAGCTAGTTTAAGTTTGTGTGTTGAAATGAATGGAGCCATGCAGATTTTCACTGGCTCGGGATCTGTTCTTTTGTATGTTTGTTAAAAGCAAAGGGTCTGATTCACCAGTGAGGTACTCCCTCTCAGGGCATTTTCACCAACATAACACTGGAGTGATGCAGTTTAAATTAATTGCACTTACATAAATCACAGGAGCGTAAGCAGTTAGCCCACTGGCTGAGCTGATTGAAGGATGTTAGGAATTGGATAGAAGGCATGTTATTACACGGTCCTGAAAGGATATTAGCAGCACATACTACCTGAGTGAGGTCTGCTGTCAAAAAAAGGGAGAGTCTGCGTGAAGAGTAGGTGAGTCAGAGTAAACAGGTGTCCTGGGTGTTTACAGCAAATGTGGACGAGAGGGCACCCGGAGACGTGCAGCATCCATCCCCGTGCAAGAAAGGCAATACAAAGGTCGAGTGCAGAACACAGGAGGTTTCCCCTCCCTGGGGGAGCCAGGGCTATGTGGGGATTGCAGAAGGTGGTGCATGCATAGCTCCGGCAGTCACTGCCTACAGGCAAAGCCTTGCATCCACCTCCAAAACCCCAGGCCTAGAGCCTCCCTCTCACATTTTACAAGTAGTTGGTCTTTTAGGGATTCTTCAAGTTTTCACTTTGAAAGCTCGTGTAAAGCTCTCTTGTTAATGCCACTGTGCTGCTAATTGCAGTTCTGCAAAGCGGGTAGGAAATGATCCGAGCAATTCTGTTGCCTGAAACCTTGGCATGCACTTTGCAGCTACTAAGTGACTAGGACCAAAGTTTCAACCATGCAGCAGAAAAGGTTGTTTTTTTAATTTATCTTGGTGTTTGTTTTTTTTTTGTTTTTTTTTTTTTTACTTCAGGCCACTTGTTTTTGTGCCGAAATAACGACCTATGAGCCTCACTTTACTCTCCCCATTCCTGTAAGCTCCACCAAATCCCTTTCCTTGTCAGGCTTTCTGAGAAGGGCAGCAACTTTTGTTACTCAGCTTTCTGGAGATGGAAGTGTGCCAGAACTATGTTTGTTATCAAAGAGAGAAGAAGGACCCAAGCTAAGTCATCATCAGCTTAGTTCTTCTCATGATAGCATTTATATCCTTACTAAGCATCAATTACAACCAAGATCGTGGATCAGAAAATGTTAAATATCTGAATGAACCACAGAAGAATCACTTCAGAATATTAAATGAGTTATGCTGGACCACTGTTCCCAGAGCACAGTGTGTTTCACAGGCAGTACTGTTAAGCACATTTTGCCTGAACCTGCTGTGGAGCCATGGAAGGTGACACAGAGGAACCCCCAGGGCATACAAATGCAGCAGGGCATACAAAAAATAGCTCCAGAAGTTCACTGAGGCAGGTGACAACATCAACCCAGAAGGGGTAAAGTGCAAGTATCTCACACTTACAGTACAGCTCTTACAATCTGTAAGCCTCCTACATATCAAAGGAAAGTATTAAATGGTTAATATGAGAAACAAAAATCAGTTTTCAATAGCCAGTTGAATGTATAACATATCTACTCAGCTTCAGTGTCACTGAGTGCTGTTATATTTTACCCTTAGTGCCAGCTGGTATATCCTGGAAAACGGTGCAACTTTCAGAAGCAGGAAAGGTTTAGTAGAGCCAGAAGGTGAGGAGTACCTCAGCTGTGATTAGGTTGGATGTAAGAGAGGAAGACCAAAATTAACAGAGTAGAGGGAAACAGTTAGGGAATGGTATTCTTTCCCATTGCTCCAACACATACACCTTAAGAAATTTTTTGAAATACATTTTTAGGATACCTTATCTTTCATGTTTTTCTCATCCTTCCAATTGCTGACCTGAACTATCAGCAGAAATGGCAGCAAGTATAAAGAAGGACTGTTGTGAAATTGTGTAAAGATTCAGTCATGTAGGCTTAAAGTTCACTGGGTCAGAATAAATCTGTGCATATTGGAATGTTTTTCCGATTCAAGTAAAAAATCTCCACATTCTTACGGTTTTGCACCAATAAATGCAGATTTTCTAATATTAGTAACTTTAAGTCAGACTTATCACATACATTTCTGTAATGGGATCTAAACATCTGAGATTCAGAAAGATTAAAAATGGGTTTGCTTTCAGGACACGTTATAGAACTGTGTGTTCCTCCATGTTTTGGTTTATTCAGGTTTGTAATTCCATCTTAAGCCTATTTAAGAGATGATGATTGAACCACAAAATCTGATTCAGTCTGAACTTTCCAATAAGTCAAGGAGCTTTGAAGTGGGTCTCTTAGAGGTCTAAGCCCATCTCTAATTTATGTACATGTATGAATAAATTATGTTTGTTGTAAACAAACTTGCATTTATTAATAAGGTGCAGAATGGTTCCTTTTGGACCAAGTAGTTCAAAGAAGACTGGCTTCTGTGCTCTCTCTCCTTCACACCTGTATAACTTCACCAAATTTAGTGGGTTCAATTTTGAGTCAATTTAGCCCACAGTGAAGGAACCTGGTCACAGTTCAATTTTCCTACATTGTTTCTCCATGAAGATATTTTAACAGTGGGCCAAATTCCCCTGTCATTCCCATCTGTACTATCTCCATTGGCTACAGCTGAGCTATTTCAGATTTACTCAAGCAGAATTGAGATTCTAGTCCAATAAATATGACTGTTTGTGTGTGTAGTGCTGTGACAAGCGTTCATTAAACAAGTGTGTTACATCCCAGCTAAGCTATTACACTCTGGAAAGCAATGCTTTCTGCCTCCTATTACGTTTTCCTGATCTGCCAGCATGTCACACTAGCGTTATTCATGGGAGGAACAAAAGCACTGGAAATGCTGACCTTGGGATCCAGGGAGAAAAGAGAGGGCTTGCATAAGCCTTGCGCGGTTGGAAAGAGCCATCTGCTGGGCACGGACACCTCCGGGAGCCGGCTGCTCTCAGAGCGAGCCCTGGGACAGCCGCCCCACCGTGTGGCCAGCCCGAGAACTAGGGGCTCCCTAGCCTGCAGAATGCACCACGGCCAGGCAGCTGACGGGTGGGCGTATAGGGGGTACCCCGTACTCTGGGAGTGGTTACAGAGGTGTATAGGAATGGCTAAATCACTTCCCGAATTTGTTAATAAGGCTGAGATCTATGGCTCTGAGGGCTGTGAGTCAGTATTTGTAGCCTACAGCAAAGTGAAAGC